TTTTGGGGGGGGGGGGGGGGAGGAAAGGACTTACGATTTTTATAGGAAAAATCGGTGGCCATTTGTACATACAAACAGTGTACGAATTAAAAATATATTTGAATATGCATAGGTAACGAAGCCTTATTGAAACGTTAGCATTATTTAAACATTTGCAAACGATGAACTGGGGATCCAGGGGGCGAAGTCCCTGGTTAGTCAAGAGGGGTTTGGGAGGAGAGGGGGCGAAGTCCTCAGTACTCCAGCAAAAATAACATTCTAAAAAAAAAAAGAAAAATACATCTCGCATGATGTTAAATGTGTGTTGCTTTTGCATGTGATTCACACGTCCTATCTTGCACAGAAATTTTGCTAATTTTTTCAGTATCCATTTTAGTATATAGTAGACTCATACATTTAGTAAGGCGAAGATTTAGTATCATTCTCCCTTGTGTAGGGGTCTTGCTAATCTTTTCGGTATTAACGATTTTTAGTATATTGTAGACTCATTTATTTAGTAAGGCGAAGATTTAATAGTATGTCTAGTAATAAGATTTAATACTGTGACTTACTCTGTGTCTAATAATACTTACCATATTATATGATAAATACATAAAATGATCAAATAAATGACCAAATGATGGTGGCACAAAAGAAGTGAACGGTTCTTAAACATTTACAAAATTTGCATGTTACTAAAGAGAATATATCTATTAAATTTTCGCCTTATTAAACAAATAAGTCTACAATACAGTAAAAATCATAAATATCGAAAAGATTATAAGATACCTGTACACAAGTGGCATGTGTTATATATGCGAATGCACGTATATTTCAAATTCACATCCCAGTTGTTTACATCCAGTCACGACGACTTGTGATTAGGTAAATTGGGTCAAAGTTAGGATTAAGGTTAGGTTTGGTTAGTACAAAATTGAAATATATATACATGTTTAATAATATACAATAATATTATAAAAACATATTGTCTTTGTTGTCGTCTTCGTGAAACACTATTGGATGCAGTATATTCCGATAAAATTTATATTTTATTTTTTCGGATTTTTTTTTAATAAAAATCGTACGCCCTCACCCTTAAAATCTTGTATACATGTTTTTTTTTATAGCTATTTCTGTTAAGTACTACAAAAAAACCAAGGTTTTTGTGAAGTAGCACTTCTGAATATTTACCACGGTGTGTATTAGTTGCTAGCGATTGGTGGAATAAGACGCGCACACGCAGTAAGCAATGTATGATACAGAGATTACAGGCTAAAACAAGTTCATCTCTTGTTATTCGCTAATATTCATCGTCGTTAGAAAATTAAAAAAAATGAGATTTTTTTTACAAATTAAAAGCTATATTTTTTTAGACGCATCTACAGAGTTCATTCTACTACTTTCTGTATATTCATTTGTTCATATTATTGAATCAATTTGTTAATTATTGCAAAATTTTTAAAATGGTACGTAATTTCTCTTACTTTAATTTGTTTTACCTTTTCATGGACGTTTTGTTTTGGATAATCAGATTTTATGCTTGCAATTTATTGCAACGACTTGTGAAGTTCATAGATTTTCTATAAAATTTTTCATATATAGTATTTCATAGTAACATATAAATATTTAAATAGTCAACAATTAATTAAATTATATAAAAATCTTAATAAAATATTATAATAAATTTGCGAACTAATTTTGGAGATATTTAGATTTTCATTTTGTAAATTATATTCTTTATATCATTATACAGGGTATCCGAAATCTTTTTAAAAACAATTCGTGGAAAAGTAGATTAAACGGAGCAGAAAAGTTAAATATTATATTTTGCAAACTTCGCATAGTTAATGAGGAATTAATAATTATGTCTGAGATAATGAGCGCACAGCAAGCGGTAGCCGAAAGAAAGACGTCTTTGGCCAGTGCGCGACCGTGATACTTGCAAATCGCGGCTTGCTACGTTCCTCCGCCCATAGTTACGAGATACAGCAAGATATGATATATTTGATATACACATGTGCATGACATATCCGTGTGCCGATTTGGCGTCGATTTTAGCTCAGATAAAATAATTAATTTCTCGAAAACTATTACGAATATCACAAAACGACACGGGACTTTCTTGCTCACCTCAATCCGTTCTACGTTCTTAAAGTGTGTAGAAGTCTGTATAAATAAACACTGTTATTTTTTTATAAAGTAGCTTTTGTTATACTATGTATAATATGGATATTTTATATTTTTTATATAACAAAAATATGTATGTAAAATATAAAATATCTTGAAAATATCTTATTTTTTGTCGAATTTTCAAAATATTTTGTGTTAAGCTTTCCACTTGTGTTAACTATTTCCACATAATATATAACGTCTTAACGACATCTAAAAGACGTCTTAAAGATATCTTATTTAAGACTACTTAATTAAGATCTTTATATACATGCACGCACACATACACACACACACACACACACACACACACACACACACATTCTACTATAAATTCTTATAATTATATAAATATTAGGAAGGGAAAGATATTTATTTATGGAGGACACCCTGTATAGGCCAGGTCGCGCATAATTTAAAAAAAAATGGCAAATAATTGTAGATCTTAATTAAGAAAAACTTTCTTTGACATCGCTTTTTTCGTAAATGCATTTTTAAAATATAATTGCATTCTTCTTCAAGTGGAATTATTTTTTTATAAAGTGGCTTTTGTTATACTATGTATAATATGGATATTTTATATTTTTTTATATAACAAAAATATGTATGTAAAATATAAAATATCTTGAAAATATTTTATTTTTTGTCGAATTTTCAAAATATTTTGTGTTAAGCTTTCCACTTGTGTTAATTATTTCCACATAATATACGTTTTAACGACATCTAAAAGACGTCTTAAAGATATCTTATTTAAGACTACTTAATTAAGATCTTTATATACACGCACGCACGCACACATACACACACACATTCTACTATAAATTCCTATAATTATATAAATATTAAGAAGGGAAAGATGTTTATTTATTATCATTTATTTGCTGTAATCAGTTGGCAATTATGATTAGAATATGAATTTGCTTATCTGCTCAGAGTTAGAATTAGATATCAATGACAACTAGCGGATAATAATATTTAGAACATCATATATTTTAAATTTTAAAACATATGCTGCCGAATAGTGATATTTGGTAGTATATAATTTAAAATTTAAAGCATACAATGCTGGATACCATCAACATTGGCTACCTGTCATCAACATCTAATTCTGAACAGGATGAATGAACAGATCCACAGCCTAATTATTATTCTCAATAACCATTCATATAGAAGAAACGAAATTTTTACTTGCAACTTAAAAATAAACTGACCAAATTATAAAAATTTATAGTTTAATAACTTTTACAAAATTTTGACATGCTTCACATACATGACACTCACAAAGACTAAGAGGTCTTTATAGTATTTGCCATAGCAACAGCGTATATAAATCTCAGTCGGTAATATAGACAGTCTTACATGGTTTTAAAAATTTCATTCAATAGACGTTGTTCTTTTCCGATAATATTTTATATATATTTGAAATAAATATATTCAATATATATAAAAATATATATAAAAATATATATAAAAATATATTTAATATATTTAATATATATAAAAATATATTTGAAATAAATATATTTTTATATATATTTGAAATAAAAAACATTTTTTAGGAAACTTTTGATAACACTATAAGACGTCTTACATAAGACATTTTTAAGATTTTGTTAGACTTTGTCCTGTTTCTTAAAAAAGTGAAATGTTCACGAAATGTCAGAATCAAATATAAGGAAACCGCACTCCAAATTGGAAAAAAAAAGCAAAATATATTATATATCTTTTTGAAGATATATTATCTTAAAATATATTCTTTTTTTAAATAAAAATGGTTAGTAAATATTTATTTTAGCGGATTTTGCCCCCATCCCCTATTGACTTTAAGTTTCATAAAATGTATGTTATTTAAGATATCTTTAAGTTTTTTAAAAAGTTGTTGCTTATTATTAAAAAATTATAAAATTATTATAAAATTCTAAAATTATCATAAAAAATTGTTAGTAAAAAGGATAACTGTACAAAAGGATATTATAAATAATAATCTGAACCTCGGAGTGTAAATAGATACTAGAATTCTCATTTTTTGGCATAATAAGATAAGCAACTCTGAAGATATTTTGCTGAAAATATAATTAATTTATAGAAAATGTAAATGAAAATGACGAAAAATTATTGAATGTAATTCAATATGACTAAAAATTTTTATAATTAAATATAATAATATGAGTTTTTAGGAAAATTAAATATTTTCTAAAAGAAGTGAAAAATATTTTATGAAATATTATTTCATAAAAAGAAAATTATACTAAAGTGTTAATAAAAAATATTTGTCAAATTATTAAGGAATATTAAAAAATTGAACTAAAAGAGTATAGCATGTGTGTTTTGCCCCCAGCCAGATTCGGTTGAAATTTTAACCATAAGTCACCACTGATATAAGTGTTATTCCCTTAAAAGCATAATGTTTTTATGGGAGTTATGGGGATATAAAAGAAAAACAAAAAAATAATTGATAACGGCATAATGCAATTTTAATGAAAAAATATGGGGTTTAATGGGATAATGTGTAAAAAAATTACGGAAATAATTGTAGATCTTAATTAAGAAAAATTTTCTTTGACATCGCTTTTTTCGTAAATGCATTTTTTAAATATAATTGCATTCTTCTTCAAGTGGAATTATTTTTTTTATAAAGTACCTTTTGTTTTACTATGTATAATATGGATATTTTATATTTTTTATATAACAAAAATATGTATGTAAAATATAAAATATCTTGAAAATATCTTATTTTTCGTCGAATTTTCAAAATATTTTGTGTTAAGCTTTCCACTTGTGTTAACTATTTCCACATAATATATAACGTTTTAACGACATCTAAAAGACGTCTTAAAGATATCTTGTTTAAGACTACTTAATTAAGATCTTTATATACACGCGCGCGCGCGCGCGCACGCACGCACGCACGCACACACACACACATTCTACTATAAATTCCTATAATTCATATAAATATATGACAATTTTGTTAAATAGAACTTGTTTTAAAAAATTGTTGAGTTCTTTTCAAATTTTTATTATGGGTTTTATTATGCGATTAAGACATTACTCCTATTTTTTAATAAAAAAATTTTAATATAACAAAAATACTTTAGAATAACATAAGAATACTTTAGTATAACATAAAAAATTTTCAAAATGATTGAAAGGATAGTACGTAGTTAAACAAATTAAAGTTCTTGACGTCGCGCATGCGGTGCGCAGCACATACGTTGATCGCGTTATGGTCACGCGCGACGCCGTAGAGACCCTTGAGGTAGTTTGGTCAAAAACAATGAAGACACAGATCTCTTTGAAAGCAAAATTAATTTGGGTATTAATACGTATGTGTGTTAAATATAGGTTCGATTAACCGTATACTTTCGAAAATTTGGGCAAAATTAATTGAATATTTACAAAAGTACATACTTCAGTCTCGGCGAAATTGATCGTACATTATTAGAGTATAATTAATCAGCAAAAATAAGTATAGCTTTTATTTTTTCGTTCGCGACTATGCTTTGCGGATGTGGCAACGTTGCATTCCTCGAAGCTTGGCGTCGCATAGCGCTAATAGAGATGCGACGTTGCCATGATCTACAATTCCGCGACGGCAATGCAATTCAGCAAACTGTTTCTTTTTCTATCATTTTATTTATTTTATCGATTTTTACTATTCTGAGAGAGCCAATAATGTTTAAAAATCTGTTTTTCATTTTCACTTAAAAGAATTCATCGGTTGTTGAACCTTTTATCTAAAATCTAATTTTGACTATCACAATTGAAAATAACTGCCTTAAGTAAGAGACCTGCAAACTTCGAGCAATTGTAAGAACATGGCGGCCTTCGTAACGCATCACATAGTTATATGTGCATAAACAATATAAATATGCAATGTGCATGTGAATAAACAATTAAATATGTATAAAATATACAAAGTACGAAAATAATAACAATATTATTGTACAGGAGTTGTAAAATAGCTGTGGAAGTTAAAAACATTATAATCATATTATTATCCTGTATTATATTATAATATTCCTCTAACCTATATGTTTTCAATATTTTCAACTTTCACAGCTAGTTTGTACAATAATGTTGTTCAAACTAGCTCATTATTGTACAACTTCTATACAATAATGTTGTTCTTTACATTCGTACTTTATATATTTTATACCAACTTATGTATATAATGTTATATAATACGTATATTCATACATATACAAACTGACAGATAAGTGAAATCCATAATGCCAGGCTGTTGTATATCGAATTGTAAAAATTCAGCAGCTAAGGGATATCTGATGAAACATTTTCCAAAAACACAGAAAGAAGAATACAATGGATAAAGTATATTCCACGAGCGAATTGAACACCTATGGATAGCAGCTAAATATGCTTTTTTCATTGGTACCACCATATTCTTGCAAAATCAATAACGACCAATCCCGTCATGGCTTCAATTTGCAGACCTTTTACTTGAGGGTCTCTACGACGTCGCACAGTAGGACGACAGACCCGAAAACCGGAAATCAGTATTTAAAAGAAAATTTGTAAAATGTACTTGTCTTGACATGCTTGGTTTTTGTTCTTTATACTTTAATGCATACAAAAATATATCTTATTTATGATTTTTGTTAAAATTCCTACAGAAAATATTTAACAAAGTTCATACTTAGAATAACTTTTACACGCTTAAAGTAAATTTAAATATATTTTTTATTATAGTAAATTATTATTTTTAATTAATCTGATTATGGTTGATATTTTAAGTTTTATATTATATACAAATTTTCTCTTATATTACTCTGTATATTACTCAATATAACTGATAATTAAAATTGTTGAAATATTGTAAAAAATTGTTAGGTTAGATTAAAATTCGATTCCTTTGCTATATTTAAATTTAAGTTAAGTATGGAATGATTAATGTGTGTGTGAACATAAACTTTTCATCTAAAGTGTTGCATGTAATACCCCTGAGAATTGTTAGAGAAATTAACAAACTTTTTTTTCAGTTTTTATTATCCAATGGAGTTTCATATATAAGTAAATGATTGATCCCGGAATCCTTAGGAGAGGTAAGATAGGAATTTAATAATTTTTTAAATTATAACAGCATTTCCATTTTTGTAGATTTAAAAAATTTTTTTTAAAATAAATGTCTAGAAAATGTTTAGGAAGTTGTTTTTTAAGTTTTTAATTGATATTTATATAATTTGAAGCAATTGACAGAAGAAATGTATATTCTTTTCACTTATTTCATTATATTTAAATTTTTAATTCGTTTATATATATGGATATACATTATGTAAAGTAATAAGATTATATATATATATATATATTTGCTAGGTGTATTAGCATATTTATTGACAACTTTTTCCGTGGACTACAAAGCTTCCAATGATGTTTTCATCAGGTCTTAATTGTAATCTCTCTTTCCCAAGTTGTTTGGGTTATCCACAAGATAGTGAAGAATTAATTCCAAAAATGGCACGTGAGCCAATTATCTTAAATGTTTATGACATGGTAAGCCACTATTTCAGTCATATAATAAGTAAAATAAAAATCTCTTAAATATTAAAAATTTTTTAAATAACTTATTGGTATTAATTACATTAATATTAGTTTATTTATGATTAATATTCTTTAAAAGTAAATTTTATTTATTTTATCTTTATATATATATATATATATATATATATATATATATATATATATACCTCAATATTTATGTATAGCTAAACATTTTTTTATTTTATTTGATACCATTTAATTCAGTGGATGTTGTTATAGTATTGGATAAATGAATATACTACACCTATTGGTCTTGGTGTTTTTCATTCAGGCGTGGAAATATATGGAACAGGTATATATTTAATAATAAAGTATAGCACAAAGATTGGGGAAGTATGTGTAATAACAAGTTTTTGTTAAAGAATACGCGTATGGTGGTCATGCGCAACCTAGAAGCGGTATTTTTGAAATCACACCAAGAGTAGCTGAAGAATTAGGTGAACAGTTTAGATACAGGTAAAATTTATATTCCTTCTTATTACACACACACACACATACACACGCACACGCACGCACCAACACGCACGCACGCACACGCACGCACGCACACGCACATACGCACACACGCACACGCACACGCGACACGCACACGCACGCACGCACGCACGCACGCACGCACGCACGCACGCGCCACACACACACACACACACACACACATAACACACAGGGTGTCACACTCTTCTCCGGGCATTTTGTGGGGACATAGAATGTGTTGATGTGAATATAAAAGTCCCATATCGTTTTACGAAATTCGCAATAAAAGTCGAGATATTAATTAAAAAGATTAAGGAAAAGCGTGTGCTGAATGGTAGAGGATGGCCCGCTCGAGTCACAGCGCGGCCCAGTAATAAAGCGCACGGATGTCGCGCGCGATGATTGGAAGACAATGCACCACTGCCTATACTTATATCGCTGCGTCTCCTACGTCTTGTACCACGTCGAGATAAGAAGCGGTTCGCCCTCTACCATTCAGCGTGCCATTTTTCCTTAATCTTTTTTAATTAATATCTATATTATTGCGAATATCGCAAAACTGTATAGGACTTTTATGTTCACATCAATCCATTCTACGTCCCCACAAAATGCCCGGAGGAGAGTGTAAGACACCCTGTATATGTACATATACAGAGTGTCCCACATAAGACGTGCCAAAAGAAAAATATAAATAGAACAGATAAAAGTGAACAAACATTGTAGGTCATTTTTCGAACAACGCGTAAAAGGAACCCGCAGAATCTTTATGGAAAATGGATTTTGGTTAAATTTTCTGAAACTGTGCTACATAATAGTTTTTGGTGTGTAGATCAAAAGTGTGAATAAGCGCAAAGTCTGAAAAATTATTAAATATCTCGAAAAATATAAGTTTCATTTTATAAGAAGGATAGGTACTCACCCAGATAGAAAAATGTGTTCATTCTGAGCTCATATTGTATTCATGTATCTTCAGACATGAGGACAAGAATAGACATCGACGCGAGCTCATATACGCCTCAGAATGTTATGATGTCACAAAAATACCCTATTTAATAATAATAATCAACATTATGTCAAGAATTTGTAACATAATTTGTACATTATTTGTGTGCATCTGGTGCATCTGGTGCTCATGTCATGAGATCACGTAATGACCTTTAAAAAAGTATCAAATTGGAGTCATAATATGAAGTCATATTGTGATGAAACACGATCATCACGCATTTATATCTGGGCAGATAGCCAAAACTGCGCGAGCAGATTTTGCACAGAGTCTGTCAACAGTGCCTGTTGACAAAATGGCAATAGATTGCACACAGAATCTGTTCTGATGACAGATTGGTGACAGACTGCACGCAGAGCTTGCCGACAGATTTTGACGACAGATTGGCGGCAGATTGTGCGCAGATTCTGTCTTTCGTAGATTCTTTAATTAAATGCGCAGATTTTATCTTTCGTAGGTTTTTTAATTAAATGCGCAGATTTTGTCTTTCGTAGGTTCTTTAATTAAATGCGCAGATTTTTTCTTTCGTAGGTTCTTTAATTAAATGACATATGTACGCTATTAAATGGTGTTCTTTCATATGTACACAGTGTAAAACGAATATAAATCTCTCATTCCACTTTATATGATCAACACTGCAGCCTAATACTGCAAAATGCGCAAAAACTACAACTTCGAAAGACTTTAACTCAAAAACTATAATTTTTCAGACTTCGCGCCCATTCACACTTTTGATCTACACATCAAAAACTATCGCATATGTAAGCACTAATGTAGCACGATTTCAGAAAATTTAACCGAAACCCATTTTCTATAAGGATTCTGCGGGGTCCTTTCGAATTATTAAATAAAATAAATGTACTAATCAGAGCGCGTGATGCGGCGAGTGAGACATATGGCTCGCCGCGGCCGGCGAAGAAAATAGACAATTGCTCGCAGGCCAATCATGCAGTATCAGATCTAAAATGTAGTCACCACCCCTGGGTTTATGAGATAGGCTCGCGAACAATTGTTTATTTTCTTTGCCGGTCGCGGCGAGCCGTATGTCCCACCTGCTACATCGCGCGCTCTAATTTTCCCAACTATTTTAATTAATATATTGAAATTTTACGTGGTTGTTTGAAAAATGACCTCCACAGTATTTGTTCACTTTTATCTGTTCTACTTATATTTTTCTTCTTGGATGTCTTATGCGGGACATCAGTTTGACCTTGGGTTGCGTAGCGAAGGTCAGGTCAAGGTCACATTAATTTTTTTAAATGGAACACCCCATTTTTCATTGCATATTCTTATAGCACATCTCGAGAGCTTTCCAAA